CGACTAGGCTGCACAGAAGGGAGTTACAGAGTATTCGGGCAATTCCTATCTGCTATGTGAGCCTCCTGTAATACAAGCCCTCTTTCTGAACAGAAACTATCACCTGTGTTGACAGTGTTTACTGGGTCTAGGGTTTATAGGCTGAAGAAGATTTCATCTGTGATCATGCTTACTTTGCTGATTAACTTTTAAAATTGGAAGAAATGAGATGAGTATCCTTAATACATCCATGTTAAGAATTTCCGCTTGACTTTTTGAATTAGTTATTTTCATACAAAATTAACTCTTGTTCATGATAAAAGAATTTTTTTTAAAGTAGTGCAAGGGAAATACAAAATTGAAAAGTCTCATATACCAGAGGTGAATACTGTTATATTTCTTTTGTGGATAAGACATAAAGCACACAGAGGCTCTCATATATATTCTTCTTCCTTAAAGCATCAGTGGGATCTAGCCATATATTCTGTGACTTGCTTTCTTAACAGTAGGAGAGTGGTTTTCGGTATTAGTAGTATCTTTCCATACCAGTATATACTGAGCCACTCATTCTGCCTCAGTGCTGTTCCTTCTGCCTGGAATAGTCTTATCCCAGATTTCTTCATAGTTTACTCTCTTCCAGTCCTTACTCAAATGCCACCTTAGTGGCTGCTTTACCTAAAATTTCAGCCCTTCCCCTAACACTTTCTAGTTCCCTTCTGTATTAGTGTCTTTCCTAGCAAACTTTTGTTTATTGTCTGTTCTCCTATAATGTATGCTCTATGGTAGGGAAAAATTTTTTATTGTGTTGTTCACTGCCATATCCCTAGCCTTTAGGATAATTCCTGACCTTATAGTAGAGGCTCAGCAAATATTTGTTGAATGAATAAATGAATTTTTACATTGTTTTCACATTTGGATATAATCATTTATTAAATAATCCTCTATTGATGAATATTTAGGGCTTTTTCCCAGTTTTTCCTACTATTATAAACAATGCTATGTTGAATAGCCTTATACATATGTCTTTGTACTATTGTATGGTGATCTCTGCAATAAATTCCTAGAGGTAGAATTGTGAGTTTGAAGTATATATACATTTTAAATTTTGAATACTTGTCTCTCATTCTTTCCTTTTCCTAAGATAAAAGGTTATATCAACTTACAGTTCTGCTAACAGCATATAAGGACACTCATTTCCCTATACCAGGTGTAACAACCTTTAAAACTTTGCTTAACTGATGAATGAAAATGGTATCTCATCTTAATTTAAATTTCTTTCACTATAAGTGAAGTTGAGCACCATTGTATGTATTTATTCACTTTTTAATTTACTTTTTTGCTCATCTCCTTTTTTGTTGTTGTTCTCTTGGGTGGTTTTGCTTGTGTTTTTGCTAACACATCTCTGCTTTGGTATGTTTCCTCTTTCTAGGCTGCAACCAGATATAACCCTAGAGAACAGTATGCATCTGGGCCACCGTTATTCTATGCCTAGAATGTTTCTACCCTGGTGTTATCATCACCTCTTATTCTTGCTAATATTTTTTGTTTGTTTATTAATAAAAGCTATCATGTAAGCACATCACTGATGTTGGCTGTGTGCTAGGTACTGTGTTGAGCACTGTATTTTTATTTATTTATTTTTATTTTTATTTTTTTTGAGTTGGAGTCTCATTTTGTCACCCAGGCTGGAGAGCAGTGGCACGCACGCTCACGGCCCTCCAGCGTCGACATGCTGGACTCTAGCGATCCTTCTGCCTCTGCCTTCCAAGTAGCAGGAATTACAGGCATGCATTACCACGCCCGGCTAATTTTTTATTTATTGTAGAGACGAGGTCTTGCCAAGTTACCCAGGCTGTTCTCAAACCTGCAGGCTCAGGCAATCCATTCACCTCAGCCTCCCAAAGTGCTGGGATTACAGGCTGAGCCACCAGGCCTGGCCTGTATTTTTATTTTTAAGTGTCATAGCAAGCCTGTCAGGGGGTACTAGTTTGTCTCCATCTATATAATTTATATACTGTATATAAAGAAACTGAAGATGGTGAGATTCAGTGACTTACTCAAGGTCACATGGCTAGTAAACAGCAGAGCTAGGATTTGAGCCTAGGCAGAGTGGCTCCAGAGGCTGCCCTCTTAACCGCTAAGCTCTTTTTCCTCCATTATGGGTAATGGATTAGGTTTGCCATTGTCTGTTTTCAGGACACCTTTCTGCCCATACGTCCCCATTCAGAAAACTGGCCACAGTTGCAGAAGCAAGAGAAAGGCATTCATATATAGGTCTGTGAGCTTTTCTTTACTTACAAATTGGATTGTAGTACATGGCTCAAAGTCAAAATAATACAAAAAGATAATCAATGAAAAGTTTCACTCCTATTCCTCTCATCCATCCTATTTACCCCGCCTTCTACTTTTTTTTAGTTTCTGTGTATTCTTCCTGTTCCTTTATATACTTACAAACAAAATAAATAAATACAGCATGTCCTTGAATAACGTCATTTTGCTTAATGTCATTTTGTTGTAATGCTGATGAGAAAATAAACATTAATTCCTGGCCGGGGCTGCTATCTGTGTGTAGTCTGCACATTCTCCCCATGTCTGCAGGAATTTTTCTCCAGGTACTCAGGTTTCCTTGCACATCTCAAAGTTGTTCATGTTGAATGAACTGGTATGTCTAAACTGTCCTATTCCCAGTGAATGTGGGTATGTGTGTAAGTGTAACCTACAATGGGATGGCAGCCTGTCCAGGGTTGATTCCTGCCTTGGCATTGAAGCTGCTTAAACACATCTTTTTAAAATGTGTGTATAGCTCACATTTCTTTCAATATGTAATATTAGAAGTGTCTCGGTTTGTTTTTAGAAGTTTGGTGATGTCTTTGTGAGCAGAAATAGACCAGAGGAATGCTTGTTTATGTCAGTTAGCCTTTGGTAAAATTGGTTTTGTTATATGTTGTTTTACTTATTGTTGCAGTTACCAGGAACCTATCAGTGATATTAAAGTCTTAACTGTATATACATACATACATGTATGTGCGCATGTGTGTGTTTGTGTTATTCATCAAATATTTATTGAGTGCCTCTTTATCCAAGGCACCATGCTGGCTTTAGAGGAGTATACAACAAAGCATGAAACAGAAATCTTTGACCTCAGGAAGTTCATAGTCAAGTTCTGTAATGATATTGTATGTGAACGTAAAGTGTGGCATCTCTATGGCATGGTGCTTCCTTCGCTGATTCAGTCTTCATTACAAAGCACATGCAGCCTGCGAAGGTGTAAATATGTTTCTGTGTCTTTGGGACCCAGGTAAGAGACCTACTGAATATCAGTCTCTAGAATGCAGGAATTATGTATTATTTATCTTAATATCTTCTTCAGGACTTTATAGTTTCAACAAATGAATCTGTACTTGTTTTAAATACAGACTCCAGGGAAACGTTTTATATCTTTTTCATGAGCCCAAAGGGAAGATTTTTAGAATCATTTTGATTTTAGGATTCATCCCTTCCAAAGATGCCTTGTCAAGTTGTACTGAAATGGAATTTTCATGTGCCTAAAATAGAACTGAAGAAGAAGGCTTATCTGCAGAGGGTTTGTTTTGGTAGGGGTCTTCTTTTTCCCTTGTTGCGGCTTCCTCCTCCATTTGCTCCTACCTCATGGGCAGAAAGTGGAAAAGAGTTAGTTTATCCCAGCTATAGTACAGTGTTTTAGAGTCATGGGCAAGTTACCCTCAATTTATTTGTTTTGGATCTCAGTTTCTGTATATTACAACTTAATTTTATTAAAAGACATCTTTGTTCAGCACCCCTCTAGCCATTCCAGGCATTCCAGGAGCCATGTGGCAACTTCATGGTGTATTGGTTAAAAGAGTAGGCTCTGGAGCCAGCCTGCTAGTGTTGATATTCTGAACCTGATACTCTCTTGTTGTGTCAAATTATTGGACTTCTGTTTGTTTTCACTGTCCTAGTAGATTCATAAATGCTAGAGGTCTATGAATTGATTCAGTTTATTCTTCTCACTGAACTTTATATCCAAGGACAAGAATGGAAAGAGAAAATCTAGCATATTTAAGCATATTTCATCAAAGATCATAATGCATACTATATATATAATATGCACACATTATGCATACTATATATATAATATACACAATACATGCACTAAGTAGTTTGATACATTTATTATAATGCAAAGGAGTATTCTCTTGGAAGAAACATGGATTCTAAAGAAAAAAAACCAAAATTGGAAGGTCACATAAGGGCTAGGAGTAGTAACAGGACATGGTTTTTTCTTAGTCTCCTGCCTGTGACTGCCAAAGTGATCTCTGAAGAATGTTTTGTGACAGAGGCCCTTTTCTTTCAAAGCTTGTCATGTTATAAAAAGAAAAAGATCTCTTTCTTGGGATGTACATTTGTAGGCACAGGAGAGTCTTTGTGGTTTTTTTGTTTGTTTGTTTGTTTGGTTTTTTTGAGTTGGAGTCTCACTCTGTCACCCAGACTGAAGTGCAGTGGCCACTCCCGGCCACCGCAGCCTCGACCTGATGGGCTCCGGCGATCCTTCCACCTCAGCCTTCCAAGTAGCCGGAATTATAGGCATGCGCTACCACACCCAGCTGATTTTTTGATTTATTGTAGAGATGAGGTGTCACTGCCCAGACGGGTCTCGAACCCGCAGGCTCAGGCAATCTACTCACCTCAGCCTACCAAAGGCGCAGGATTACAGGCTGAGCCACCGAGCCCGGCCAGGAGAGTCTTTAAAAAAAAAAAAGTTTTGGCCATCTTTTTTGTTATAGGAGTTTGGAGCTTGCTGCCACATGCCTGGTTTGAAAGAAGAGGAAAAGACTGCAACTCTTTACAGGGTTAGAGATGAGAAGGAAAAGTGGCCTGTCTGGGTGTGTCTGCTCTCCCTCCACTGCACCTCTGGCACCCTTCATGCAGGGGCTGCAGGATAAGAGAATTGCATTGCTTTAGAACCTTGTGGCCATTTGGACATTTTCTTTGCATTGTAATCATATTGATCTGTTCCCCAGGCTCTTTATTGAGAAACTACCAAAGCATCGGGATTACAAATCTGCTGCCATTCCTGAAAAGAAAGACACAGTAAAGGTGGGTCTTCAGTTTCATTGTTGCCCATCTAAAAGCTTCAAAGCAGAACAAACGTACTTCAAGATAAGAGTAGTAGCCTCTTCATCTGAGCATCAAATGCTGCCATGAGTAATAAGGCCATTTCACTAGAAGAGTTATAAAGCAGCAGGTATGGTACAGTAGGAGGGTGATCTTGAATCATTTTTGGAAACATTTTTGCCATCACTGACTTCTCTTCTTTTTAATTCTCTACCTACTTTTCTGGCATTATTCTAATTCTGCTTTCTGTTTTATGTCTTAGAAATTAAAGGAGATTGCATTTCCCAAAGCAGAGGAGCTGAAGGCAGAACTGTTAAAACGATATACCAAAGAATATAGAGAATATAATGAAGAAAAGGTTAGTTATATATAACAGCAAAGAAAAAAAAAGGAAATTATTTTTGTTTCTTAGGCTGTGTACTGGGATTGTTATATGATATTTCAACCAATCCTGTGATTTTGTGTGTGTGTGCTATTTTACTTGGGGGGTGGGCAAAACCCAGAAACTCAATGAAGTAGAACAATAGTGGGTAGTCTGAGTATTCTAACATGGATTTAGCCTACTTGTCCAAGAAGGTGACTTGAGGGACAGAAAATATATTCCATATCTGCTATATCTAGAGCTAGAACTTTAAGAACAGTGAAAATTTTCACCAAAACATAGGTTTTTAGATGAGAGAATGTGGGGGTTTGATTCACATTTGGGTATACCTGTACCTGTTTATAATAATTGCTTTTTCAAGCTATTTTCACATAATTCTTGTCAAGAAGAGTAAGATAAAGCATGTGGGGAAACTCACAGTGCAAGTACCAAAGGCCAGATGTGAAAATGTACTATAGACATCACATGTTATTGTATAGCTGACTGCTGGGTTCCATTCTGTACTCTGATGTTGAAAGTTAGCAAAGGGGTGAACAGCTATGAGGTGTATATTTCTAAGGCACTCAATGAGTGAAAACTTAAATGAACAAGGTTATTACTTAATATTTCTTGTTTAAAATGTCACTCACTATTGAACTTATAACAAGAAAAATTTTGGAGGCTTCATTTTGGGTTAAAATTCAATAGATACTCCCAACATACCAGATATAAGCTTGAATTTGATTCTATTTTATGCCTTACTTGGGATAGAGAATATATACATGGCAAGTTAGAAAATAAAACTATGTAATACAGGTTATGGAGTACAGACAAGTTACATCAAGATTTTGGTAAAGAAAATGCATTAAGGCCAGGCTCGGTGGCTCAGCCTGTAATCCTGCGCCTTTGGGAGGCTGAGGTGAGTGGATTGCCTGAGCCCGCGGGTTCAAGACCCACCTGGGCAGGCGAGACCTCATCTCTACAATAAATCAAAAAATTAGCCAGGCGTGGTAGCGCGCGCCTATAATTCCGGCTACTCGGAAGGCTGAGGTGGAAGGACCGGAGCCCAGCAGGTCGAGGCTGCGGTGGCCGGGAGCGGCCACTGCACTCCAGTCTAGGTGACAGAGTGAGACTCCAACTCAAAAAAAAAAAAAAAAAAAAGAAAAGAAAATGCATTAAGTAGTTATTGGGGGAGGGTACTGAGAGGATTGGGACCTCAACTGTCCATGAAGATAGATATATGGTGGCCAGATAGAAAGGAGTGGTGACTCTATTCTATGGATATAGAGGTACTGATGGAAGCATGAATTCTGTGTTGGGAAATCAGACCAGAACAGAAGTACATTTTGTGAATCTCCTGGCTAAAAACCTTGTTTTCCTGGGGTGTGAAGTCGTCTAAGATGTGAACTGCTAGTCTAAATCCTTTTCTTTCTTTGTAGAAGAAGGAAGCAGAGAAATTTGCCCGGAACATGGCCATCAAGCAAGAGCTACAAAAGGAAAAACAGAGGGTAGCACAACAGAAGCAGCAACAGTTGGAACAGGAACAGTTCCATGCCTTTGAGGAGATGATCCGGAACCAGGAGCTAGAAAAAGAGCGACTGAAAACTGTACAGGAGTTTAGGAAGGTGGACCCTGGCCTAAGTGGCCCACTGGTGCCTGACTTGGAAAAGCCCTCCTTAGATGTGTTCCCCAACTCACCTATCTCATCCACACAGCCTTCAGACTGTAACACAACTATAAGGCCAGCTAAGCCACCTATGGTGGATAGGTCCTTGAAACCTGGATCACTGAGCAATTCAGAAAGTAGTGAGTACATTTGCTGAAGTCATCTTCTTAGTTGCAACTGAACAGAGTATCATTCTGGGGAGTCAGCCTAGGAGTACCTCCAGTGATCCCAATGATTAAGCTTTGATCACAGAAACCCATTTAATAAGCATTGCCATACTGTGTCTTATCATACTCGCTATATTACAAAAGTAGCCTTTGCATAAACCACATAGTTTGCCTACAGCCGGATTGATTTTCTGAAGAGCAAATAACTATTCTTGAAAGTTAGACACTGAACTTCTAAGGGTTATACAGAGATTTTAAATGTTCAGTGAATTAAAGACCACCGATAACCTTTCATAAAAATAAATTCAAAATTTATAAATACCACTGTGCAATTCAACAACTGACTTTTAAAAAATTTAAAAAAAAATGGCTACTGAATTGTGTTTGCCCTAAAAACATTCCTAATCCTTAAGGAGCTTAGTCAAGGTAAACATTGTCTATAGTTGGTGATAATTCAATCTAGCCATAAAAACTAATTGGCAGTCTTTCCTCCTCTCACTAACAATCGGCAGTCAGAAAATAGCTATAGGGACAACATGATGAGTCTACTTTGATCATTAAAATAAATTTTGAGGTTAAGAATCAACTTTCAAGTAGTCATTTAAAGAAGTCAGCTTTGCAGAAGGTCCTTTTAAAAGTACAATGTAAGAATGGATGCTGGGCATGGTGGCTCATACCTATAATCCCAGCACTTTGGGAGGCTGAGGTGAGAGAATTGCCTGAACCTGGTAGGTCGAGGCTGCGGTGGCTGTCAGCATGCTACTGCACTACAGACTGGGTGACAGAGTGAGACTCAAAAAAAAAAAAAAAATGGGTAAGGAGGACTGGACCCTGAAACCCGGCCTTTAGGGCTTCTCCTCGTTTATTTGGTGGGCCTATCTCCCATTACTGTTCTTTTATACAATGCCTGTACTCTGGTAAAATTGGACTATCATGGTCCCAGAATATTCCCTGGATTATCTTACCCAAAGAAGTCTGTTAACATTTGCCTTCTACCTATAATCTACTTTCTCTGTTTTTGCCTTCCCTGTTTTTTTTTGAAGATTTTCCAGATTCCCTCCCTTCAATCAGAAATGATTCAGTCCTCCTTATAACTCCTAGAGCTCTTTTTATCTCTAATGCAATTTAGATAAATCTTCTGATAACATAGTCATTTGTCAATAACTAGATTTTAACTTCTTGCAGGTTAGGGCTTGAGTCTTACTCATATTTGTGTTGCCTGTAGGCTGAGCACAGTGTTTACTAGGTATGCACTTGGTAAGTGATTACTGAATTAAAAAGAAAGGACTGTGCCAAACCTAATTCATAATCCTTAGATATCGTCATCAGACTGCCGTGTGATTGTCTCCTGGTCTGACTTTGTTATCTTTCCAGCAATTCAAATCTTGGTGCCGAATGTACAGAAGCAGAACATCTTTTTTCGCTTTTTTAAAAAATATGAAAATATATCTGTGAAAGATGCTTCCTAACTTTATCTTGCTGGCTCTCTCACAGAGTTTCTTCTCCATGGTGTTCAGGAACTGAGTCCATTCTTGGCATCCAGGAGCAGGTTTTATGAGCAGCTTTGTTCATGCCTTTTTTGGGGAACAAGACTGTATTTTTTATTTTTTTCTGGTTTGGCATTTTAATTTTCTTCCAAAAGACTAAGTTTAGAAGTAAGTAACTACCTAAATTATTTTCCTTTATCCAGAATATAAACTGATGTATTTCTTTGAAAGTCATACTCTGATGTTATTTTCTGTGAAAAAAGAGAGATTTAAAATTGAAATAAAAGTTCAGGTGAATGGGCAGTGCCTTAGTTCATTCTGTTCTGCTGTTACAGAATGCCTGAGACTGGGTGATTTATAATGAACAGAAATGCATTTGACTTACAATTCTGGAGACTTGGAAGTCCAAGTTTGAGGGCCACATCTGGCAAGGGCCTTTTGCTGCATCCTATGGTAGAAGGGTAGAAGGACAAAAAGAGTCCTCATCTCATCGCCACTTACTTTTGCATTGGGTATTAAGTTTCCAACGCATGAACTTGGTACACATTCAGATCATAGCAGGGAAGTGCTTTTTTTAATCCTTTGTATTAGGTTACAACAGAAAATTTCTGAGTATCTCAGCAACTTTTCTCAAAGTAGTTTATACTTTTCTTAGCTTGAATGACTAAAATCTACCCATTCTTTTCTTGAAGTAGTGTGTTCCCAATAGCTGTGAACAGAGGTTGGAAAAGAAGACTTTATGAACCCTTTTTGTGCCATTAGGATTAGATCTTCACTCACTGCCTGAAGTTGGCAGGATTCCAGTGATTCAGCATTGCTCTCCCAGAGGTCTTCTTGGGGAGGCTTAGCCCCAGTGATCTCAGACTTTTCTCCTTTCTCTATTACAGTTCCTACAATTGATGGATTGCGTCATGTAGTGGTGCCCGGGAAGCTATGCCCACAGTTTCTCCAGTTAGCCAGTGCCAACACTGCCCGGGGAGTAGAGACATGTGGAATTCTCTGTGGAAAACTGGTAAAAAAAAAAACCAACTCTTTTTTTCTTTTCCCTTAGCCTCTCATGGCGTGAAAAGATATCCAGGGCTCCCTGATGGGAACCATGGACTATATAATGTAGTGTCACTATATAATATAGTATCAATTTGGTGATCCTGTATTTGATTTTCAGAGTCCCTTGAATTGAGCTGGTTATTTTAAAATGTGGTAAAAAAAAATATCTAATTTTAAACTGGGCAGAAAGATCCCGTATTATCTGTATATCATTTTTTGAGCACCTACTTTATAGTAGGACTCCAGAATATAAAAATATGTAAAGCATATAGTTTCTGTCCACAAAAAGCACCCAATCACTTTGGAAAGATAGGAAGCATACACCAAAGGTAAGTAATATGCTGAATAGTATATATGTGCAATATGAACACTAGGAATTTTGAGGATAAAAAGATCACTGACTAGAGGCACTTAAAACCCATTACTGCTGAAAGAATAAATGAATGAAATGGAGTAGACTAAAACTGAACCTTAAAGGATGAAAAGGACTTAAGGAAACAGTGAAAGGGAAACAACTTTAGATATGAGCAAAGGAAGAGTAGTGGTACTCTACCCAGAGCTTCTCAAGAACCGTGAGTAGACCTGTTTGACTGCAACGGGAACTTCCCATGAGGCTGTGGTGTTTGCCTAGGCTGTGAGTTTTGTGGTTGGTCTCTACATCTGTGTTTTATAGAGCACCCCAGGCAGTGCGCATGAGCAGCCAAGGATGTGAACCACTGAGGTGGGGGATTATGCTGAGTGGGCAGGGCCTTCATTACATGAGTGCCAGGGAATTGTGACAGCTGTTTTCTCATTTGGCAGATGAAGAATGAATTTACCATTACCCATGTTCTCATCCCCAAGCAAAGTGCTGGGTCTGATTATTGCAACACAGAGAATGAAGAAGAACTTTTCCTCATACAGGATCAGCAGGGTCTCATCACGCTGGGCTGGATTCATGTAATTAATTCTGAGTTCTCGGAGGGTTAGCATAGTGTTACTCTTGTAGTGTTATAAACATACTGCTTGTTTCTTTCTTTGAACAGAATAAATTATATTCATATTCTTCATTGTTTTTCTTTCCTTTGGATGCAGAGCTTAGCCTACTTAACTGCTTGCATTACAGTATTGATTTCTGGGGACTACTTAGTCCTTCTAAAAAATTTATAGTTTATTTTTTAATAAAAATTGACTAGTTTCCCTAAAGTTCTAGTCTCCTTCTGAGTGTGAATGGTGATGGGATGCTGGCCTAGAATATGTGTGAATACTGACCCTAGAGACTATGCCAACTTTGTACAAATGATGTTTCTGAAAAGTATTTAAAAAATCAAAATATTTTAAATGAGCCAAGGAAGTTAATTGAGATGCTTGCATTTGGACTTCTGAAAGCTGCATGTACCTTTCTGTAAAACAGAAGGCCACCAATATACATGATTTTCAAGTGTTTGCATATCTTGGGCAGTCTTCCAGTAATGTTCAGCTAAAATATAATTCCCTCCCTAAAGATTATGTTTTAATTTTTCTTTTTATCACTTCTCAACCTCTCACTCTCACAGACCAAACCACTTTTCATGTTAAGTGACAGTTACAGATAAATTGGCTTATTCCCGGATTTGGGAAGATTACACAGAGTTGTATACCAGAATTTGAGGCATATTGACCTGTGAGGCAGCTTCTTGTGCCTTCTGTCGTCTTTTGTTTGTTGGTTGGTTTATTTTTAGATAGAGTCTTACTCTGTCATCCAGGCTAGAGTGCTTTGGTACCATCATAGCTCAGACTCCTGGGCTCAGACAGTCCTCTTACTCCCAAGTAGCTGGGACTACAGGCGTACGCCACATGCCCAACTAGTTTTCTTATTTTTTGTAGAGACAGGATCTCTCTATGTTGACCAGGCTGGTCTCAAACTCCTGGGTTAAAGCTGTCCTCCCTCTTTGACCTCCCAAAGTGTTGGGATTAAAGGCATGAGCCAGTGCACCCAGCCCATTCTTTCTTCCAATGAATTACATTAATATTGACTGATTTGGCTATCCTGTATTCCCCGCATTGTAGTTGATGGAGGAGAGAAAACGTTTTCCTTATCTGCCAGGGGATACAAATTTGAGTAAGATATGATTTTTTAGCCTCATAAAGGAGATTAGACAAATAGACAATTAATAACTGCACATGAGACGGAGTGTGCTAAGTACCTTAAGAGGTGCCAGTGGAACACTGTGGAATTCAGAGGAAGCAGGGATCATACCTGATACAGTTTAGTAGAATTTAGACAAGCTAGGCCAAGGAGGAGACAGTGTAGGGAATAGGCAGGCTGTGTTCCTGAAGCATTGGGTGGTCCAGCTTGCTGGGGTTTGTATTCAAATTAAGAAACAGTGATATATAACATTTTAACATGATTGGAGCCATGTTCTGGAGGATCTTGGGTAGACAGACAGAATTGTTCTGCTTTTTAGTAAGTGGAGAACTCTTAAAAGGTTTTGAGGAGAGCAATGATATAATCAAAGCCATACTTTAGAAATTTTAACATAAAAGCGGTTTTAAAGTAGGCTGTGGCAGGGATATCTGTGCTGATAAAATCTAAAAGAGGTTACTGTGCTGATAAAATCTAATAATTATGAGAGGCACGGTGATGCCAGTGTGTTTGGGAAGGAGGAGATGAATGTCGAATTTCTGAGGATTTGGGAAGTGAGTAATAGAGGATGATGACTCAGAGTCAAGGATGACTCAGAGATGTGGGATGTGGCAATGATCATCTCATAGGCAGAAATAAGGTATCCAGGAGGAAGACTTACTTTGGCAGTGGGGTTCAGCTCTGAGCATTTTGAGTGGTACTAACGAGACATCAAATCATTGCAGGTAGTATATTAGGAAGTTTGAAATGTGAGGCTAGAACTTGGGAGCAAGGTCAAAGCTGGAGAGGGTCCTGAGAGTGTGAAAAGGCCCTTGGAAACTTTGGAAGTAGGGAAGAGTTGAGTGTAAGAAGTGACTCACTGGCAACTTGGGGGACAGGCTGCCTAGGGGAACATATAAAGTAGACCATAATAAGTAATGAAGCAATGAGGGTATGAGAAAGAGGAGGGTAATGTTAACACACAGAGACCACAGGAGGAGGAGGAATTCATTAAGAGGAAATTTCAGGATGTTAACCATGTCACATTTGCAGAGAGCTCCAGAGAATGGTGAAGACTTGGATCAGCCTGTTGGATCTGACGAAGTCACTGAGGACCTAGATTTAATGGGGTTTAGGCAGTGGTGGGGATAAATAATAAGGGTTTAAGAAGCCATGGGGATTGAGATTGTGACGATAATGAAGAATACACTACCAATCTGAGGAGCTTAGCTCTAGAAGGAAAGGTGGCTTAAGAAGTAATGGGGTTGAGAGAATGGTTGTGTAAAAAGGCTTGAACATGTGCTTTGTTTTGATTTTGTTTTTTCAAATGCTTTATAAGTTGAAATATAAGACATATTTTAAAATGCACAGTGGCCAGGCACAGTGGCTCAAGCCTGCAATCCCAGAACTTTGGGAGGCCGAGGCAAGTGGATTGCCTGAGCCTACGGGTTCGAGACCAGCCTGGGCAACTTGGTGAGACTTCGTCTCTACAATATATCAAAAAATTAGCTGTGCATGGTAGTGCGCACCTGTAGTTCTGGCTACTTGGAAGGCTGAGGCTGAAGGATCACCTGAGCCCAAGAGGTCGACACTGGGGTGGTCATGAGTGTGCCACTGCACTCCATCCTGGGTGACAGAGTGAGACTATTGTCTCCAAAAAGAAAAACAAAATAGCACAGTAACTGAAAGTATATTTTAATGAATCATTAAGCAAGCATGTATGTACCCATACTACCTAGAGCAGGAAATAGAACACAGCTAGAGCATGCCTCCACCCCCAGTCACACTTCCTCCCTGGTACAGGTAATCCCTCTCCTGACTTTTCTGGTCCTCCTTTCCTTGCTTTTTTTTTTTTTTTTATAGTTTTACTACTGAGCCAGATGCAGTGGCTCATACCTGTAATCCCAGCGCTTTGGGAGGCAGTGGCAAGAGGATTACCTGAGCTCAGAGGTTCAAGACTAGCCTGAGCAACATGACAAACCTTGTCTCTACTATAAATCAAAAAATCAGCCAGGCCGCGCTCCAGTCTGGGCAACAGAGTGAGACTCCAACTCAAAAAAAAAAAATAGTTTTACCATCTAAATGTGTATCCCTAAACACTACAGTTTTGCCTGGTTTTGACTCTTTTGTAGATGGAATTATATGATATGTATATTTGTGTCTTACTTCTTTTGCTCAATGTTTTGAAGTTTTGCCACATTCTTGTATGTAGTTATCTGAACTTGTTTTTATGCCCCATGAGTGTAAAAGGGTGGGAGAGACAGGTAATGTGGCGATAGAGAGGTGTTGACTCGGAAGTATCAGAAAGAGATTTATCTTCTTATGGGGAAAAACACCCCATTTCTCCAGGACAGGGTTGAGGGAAGAGAGCTGCAACTACAGAAAGATTTTTTTTTTTTTTTGAGTTGGAGTCTCACTCTGTCACCCAAGCTGGAGTACAGTGCCATCCATGCTCATGGCCACCCCAGTGTCAACCTGCTGGGCTCAGGCGATCTTTCTACCTCAGCCTTCCAAGTAGCCTGAACTACAGGCGTCCAGCTAATTGTTCCAAGTAGCCTGAACACTATCACGCCCAGCTAGTTGTTTTTATTTATTGTAGAGATGAAGTCTCGCCAAGTTGCTCGGGCTGTTCTTGAACCCGTGGGCTCAGGCAATTCCCTCATCAAAGTGCTAGGATTACAGACTTGAGCAGAAAGATTTTTGAAATGATATTTGGAGGAGTTGAGGAAACTCATTTTAGACAATTTTGATTTCAGTAATATTGGAGTTCAGTTGGAGTTCAGTTCTGCTATTGAGCAGAAGGGCAACAAAGGTAGATTTAGAAACCGGAGGAAAGAGGGGAAGTTTGGAATAACTACTGCATAGACTTCAGGTAGAACTTAGCCACAAATGAATAAAAGAATTTCTAAGTATCAGTGAGAGCCCAGCTAGGAACAAATATAGAACCTAAATTGATAATAGTTCAACTTTTTTTTTTTTTTTTGAGATGGGTCTCACTCCGTCACCCAAGCTGGAGTCCAGTGGTTATTCACAGACACAGTTATAGCTCACTACAGCCACAAACTCCTAGGCTCAAGGGATCCTCCTGCCTCAGCCTTCCGAGTATCTAGGACTACAGGCACATGCCACATCTTCTGGCTAGTTTAGCTTTTTCCCCCATGACATTTCTGTATTATTCCTTCTAATTTGGGATTTAAAACAGACTAACCAAAAAGCAAACCATAAGGGTTGTTCAATCTTAAAACTGGCAAGAATGCAAAAAATGTGTACATACTACCTAGAGCAGGAAATAGAACACAGCTGGAGCATGCCTCCACCCCCAGGCATACTTCCTCCCTGGTACAGGTAATCCCTCTCCTGACTTTTCTGGTCTTCGTCTCCTTGCCTTTTTTTTTTTTTTTTAAATAATTTTACCACCGAGTTCTTTCTTCTCAACCTCGCCAACTATAAATCAATTTCCCTGGCCAAAAATTTTGCGTGGTCATGGATCAGTCACCATCTATTGTCAAACCCTTAGCCCAGTATTTGAATACTCTTCATAGTGTCTTAGCCATCATTGTCCTCTTGTGTGGTCATCCTGCCCCCCAGCTAGACTCTCAGGCGGCCTTCAGCATTCACTGGCCTTACTCATTTCTGCTCCTTAGGCATATTTTTTTCTCTTTGTGAAAGTGTTTTCCTCTATCCCCAGCAGTGTAGACACAATGAACACAACTACAGAAACTTGGCTATAATGAAAGGAGGAAGAGAAGGCACAGTAATTACAGGGAGCAAGGGACCGAGGCAGGCTTTTTGGATTCTGTTTAACAGTTGTTTCTTGAGCCCCTGCTGTATGACTCTTTATTATCTTCTTAGCCACCTAACTTTAGAATGTAGGCCTAGATTGGGTTGTGTAGGCCTAGTTTGTTCCAGTTAGAATCTTGGGCTCTCACTGTGGGATGAAAGGTATTGACATGGGCCACTGCACTGCTCCCTAGCAGTATCAGGGATTATATTGTCATCAGGTAGAAGCCCTGTGGTCACTGAAGTTCTTACATGCTCCATGCTACCATGCTGTTGCCCTGAAGCCCTCTTCCACATGAACTCATCACAGCCTTCTGTGGAGTAATGCTTCTTCTCAGAGGAGGCTACACAGAAGGACCGTTTAGTGGCCTTTAAATAAAAGCGTTCCCTCTCATGATGGCTGTTTCCACGGATTGGGTGCAGCAGTCTGGGCTTTTGACAAGCTCCTCAGGAGATTCAGTTTTTTTGGACAGCAGGTTTAAAAATACTAGTCAATTGCATTTGTTTATATTCTGTGCTTTTCTGTCAGTGAAGGTGGGAGTCTTATTGGGTCTTTCTTTTTCTTTCCGTAAGATCATACCCCTTCTAAGATGAACATATCATTATAGAGTTGACTATTTTGTCAACTCTATAATAATGTGTTCATTATAGATATTATAATTTATTTTTACCTTTTAAAATATATTTTTAAAGTGCTTAATACAACATAAAATAAATAATTAGAAACAAATGAAATAAACAGATCTAAATGGTACTTTAACTGCTTGACCTAAAATGTCAACATCTTGTGTTACTTCCAAAAAGACAAGTTCCTTTGCATGATTTAACTATCCACTGAAATCCAAGTAGTCCCCTACCTCCCATATCTTCCTTAGATCAGGACAACTTTTCCCTATAGAGCTCCAGGCTCATGCCTGCCCTTTTAATGCCTCTGCAGGAAGAAGAATCATTCACCTAATTGTGGTTTACCAAGTCCTTGACTTCTACTGTGTTGAAATATTGGGTAGCACATGTCTCAGAATAGGTAACTCTTTATGGTGTAAAGAGAGCTCACAAGGAACCAAATAAGTCTTGATGGTCAATTAGGTCAGTTAATGTCTCTTGAACAAACAAAGCCTGAATCATCCAAAAGATGCACTTCTTAGAGAAAATAAAAAGGAGAAATTCTCTAGGGGAAGTTCCAAGGGCCACTCTCATGCTATTCACAGTTGTTGAGGACATCCGCCTACCTTGTCTGTGGATGCCCATCTTGATGACTCCACTAACACCTTTGATTATGTGAATCCCAGTGTAAATCCAACACCACGGTCTTTGGTTCTTCTCATTTGGTTCGAGAACAGGAGATCCAGAGCAGGAAACATCAACAGGCAGTCTCTTCTCCTGTCTCCAAGCCTGAGACATAGATGTCTTTGCCTGTCTCCACTCTCACTTTGCCTGTGATCTTTGCACTGTATGTAGCCTTGACCATGCCTACTCCCTCTAGGCCTACAACTGATCTTCCCTCTTATCTCCACATTCAAGAGAGGCAGGTACACTCACTTTTCTCACTTGTGACATCTGAGACACAGATATGCTCTCCTGGTCTTCACACCCCTGACTCCTACAAGGTTTCCTCACCTGCAGTTCCTGGATTGGAGGTCTCCTTTTCCATCTCCATATACCACCCCACCCTACCCCCGTGCCTAAGAAGCCAGGCTTGACTCCTATATCCAGGCCTGAGATGCGGCTCCTCACCCATCTGGCCTGCTAAGCCCCAGCATAGTCTCACATATCTCCATGTTCCTTCTCCCCTAACAACACTGATCTCCCCATGCAACTCCAGTCTACATATCTGCTAAGCCCCCATTACCTGTCTGTGTCTGACATGGGTCTCCAAGGCAGTTTCTGTGCACCTTTGTCTACGATGGGATTCCCCTTTGCCAGTCCCCATGCCTCACACGACCCACCATGCATGTCTCCTGGCTCACACACACCAACCTCAGGGAAACCTTTTCTTAACACCTGGAATCTAGATCTTGATTTCCTTTTGAGAGGTCAGAACTTGTTTAACAGGAATATGGCACAACCATATCCTGCCCTGACTATTCCAACCTTGAATTTGATTTTTCTCCTGCTCTGAAGTGGTGTTTGAGCTCCGGCACTGTGGATCGGTATCAGATGGAAGGTTTGAGCTCTGCCTTCAAGCCCTCTCCATACCCACTGGTTTAATAGCCTGATTCTTTGATGCTCCCCATTTTCCAAACTTTTCAGCCTACAGCCAAGAACTCCAGAACCCACCAGACACCCTAGATCACACCACCAGTGTGATCAGAGCTTCCATCTTGAATAGTACAGAGAGAAAGGTTTTCCCCCTTCTGTTCATCCCCCCCTTTTGTCTGTCCTGGTGCTCCCCTGCCCCTCACTGCCCCATGAGTGCTCAGGCTGCCCAAGGTTTTATCCTGCCTTCAAACAATAGAAGTAAGAAAGTCTCAAGTCTCTTTATCTTCAGTTTACTTTTACCCAACATAACTTTACTCTCTGAGACCTCTCCCTGAGAAGGCCATCTGAGAGAATTAAATAAAATGTGGTGGGTTATTTGGCATGTCATTTACAACCGTGGGCGAGGACAGGATGCACTTTCTTAGGCTTAGCACTGCTGCTTTCTATTAGACAAAAATCACCCAGTCCATCAGACCCTCTGTAGAATCCCAGAATTATGGTTTGTGAGGACTTCTCTTATATATATTCAGCTACCCAGGAACTGAAGTGAGTGTCTCCCTCACCTCCCTTGAGTGGCATCTCCCCATAATTGCTCTCCAGACAAGATCCCTACCTATTTAGCTGTCGTTCTGCTAGGGCTGATTTGATCTGAATTATTTTCTTAGTCACTTTCATCCCCTTCGCCTCTCGCACTGTATCGCCCACTATAGACAACTCTTCCAATGTCCAAAAATTATTCATTCCCCTTATCCCGTGAACTATGTTATGCAGCTTATTCCTGTTTTCTGGGACTTTCTAAAAGGAGCATATATTTTTCTCTTTTTTATTTACAAATAAAAATTGTATTTATATGGTGTATATAGCATGATGTTTTGAAATATGTGTCTATTGTGAAGTGACTAATCAAGCTAATTAACATGTATTGCTTTTTTGTAGTGATTTGTTAAAGATCTTCTCTACTAAGCAATTTTCGAGTATATAATACATTATTATGAGCTATAGTCACTATGTTGTAAATCTCCTGAACTTAAGTAAATAAATAATGAGTCTTCCCATACTCATGTTAAACTGTATTTGTTCACACTACTAGAAAGGACCTTCCTTTCTTATGAACTTCAGATGTACCCCCTCATGGTTGCAGATGCTTTGTACTGAAAAAGGAGATTGAGCCCACCTGTTGAGAGCTATTTGGCTTTAACTTCCTTTATGGACCAGGCTTGGTTGTACAGCAGAGTAATCCCCCCTCATCTTTGGGGATACGTTTCCAGACCCCCAGTGGATGCCTGTAACCACAGATAGTACCAAACCTATGTGTGCTGTGTTTTTTCCTATACTTTTATACCTGTGATAAAGTTTACTTTATAAATTAAGCACAGTAAGAGATTGACATCAAAAACTACAATAAGATAGAACAATTATATTCTGTAATAAAAGTTATATGGTCTGGTTCAGTGGTTCACACCTGTAATCCCAGCACTTCGTGGGACAGAAGCAAGAGGATTGCCTGAGCTCAGGAGTTCAAGACCAGCCTGGGCAACTTGGCAAGATCTCTTCTCTATATCTCTACAGGGAAAAAAAAAAAATTAGTCGGGCATGGTGGCACGTACCAGTGGTTACAGCTACTTAGAAGGCTGAGGTGGAAGAATTGTCTGAGCCCAGGAAGTCAAGGCTGCGATAGCTTTAAGTGTGCCACTGCACTCCAGTCTGGGCAACAGAGTGAGACTCCAACTAAAAAAAAAAAAAATGTTAGGTGAACAAATATGATGTCTCTCAAAATATCATATTGTATGTAATATTTTCAGACAGGTTGATATGGGTAATTGAAACCTGAAAAAGGGAAATACTAATGAGGAAGGACTTTTCTATATCCTTGCTGACAGTTGGCTGACTTTTTTTTTTCCTTTTCAGACTCATCCCACACAGACTGCCTTTCTCTCCAGTGTTGACCTACACACACACTGCTCCTACCAGATGATGTTGCCAGAGTCAATAGCCATTGTTTGCTCCCCCAAGTTCCAGGAGTGAGTATACAGGGCATGGTTCTGGGTGTTACAAGTAGAGAGTAGAAAGAATTACTCTGAGGAAAAGGTCTCTATTCTTGAGAAACTGTTCTTTATAAAACTTATAGATTATAGTGTTAATTGGTTGTTTTAAAGGAATTCCTTTTAAGGCCCATATCCTGATAGATCCACCATGCTTGTTTAAAGAGATAGCCAAGCAACAGCTTAGTTGCTTTTCTAAGAAAAGTCCACAAGAAATTTCAAGTATCTGACTTGAAGCAATAATATTTCAAGAGTTTGATATTAGACTAGAAAATTTCGAAATCACACAGATTATCTCAGAGTGTTACATTTTAAAAATTCCAAATCCTGATATTTACTATGAATTCTCCAGCAAACCAATATGGTGGTGATGAATCATTCTCTGATTCATTCATTCTTCAGAGAAGAGACCTATGAGACATCATCCTACAGAAACTGTCTCAAAATGACCTCCGTCCTGCTGTGTGAGTGTGCATATCTGTGTGTGTGCGCATGCATGTTTTGGGGATGGGAGATACCTTGACTCTGAGCCTGCCATTTCTTATTTCAGAACTGGATTCTTTAAACTAACTGACTATGGACTAGAGGAGATTTCTTCCTGTCGCCAGAAAGGATTTCATCCACACAGCAAGGATCCACCTTTGTTCTGTGTATGTGTCTATGTAGAAGAAATTGGGGCTGTGCTTCAAGCGGGAGGACAGTCAGAGCTGAAGAGGTGCCTCATGTAGCCCTTTCTGTCCCATACAGAAGACCAGACTTGTCATTTATCTTTCCAGATCTCCACAGCTAAGGACATTTGTAAGAAGCAGTGTGGAATAGGAACAGATTTGAATCTTAGTTAGCTCTGCCACTAAGATTAGGTTGCCTCAGGTTTCTCATCTGTAAAATGGGCATCGTAATAATAATGCCTACCTGATAGGGTTATTGAGAGAATTAAATGAAGTAAAGTGCAGAAAATACGTAATGCAGTAAATAGCTCGTTAAATGTTCGTATTTTTTCCTTCATCAGTGTCAGTTGCTAAGCCGTACTTCAATAAGAGAATGTAATACAAGGGGAGAAAAAGCCACTTGAGATTAAGTATATTTGATTCAGGAACTTTGCTTAGTTAATAGGGACTTTATGACCTTCCTGGGAAGTTGTTTTTTTTTCCCCTACGTGGTATTCTGTGAATAAAAAGTTTAGTTGCTGATGTGATCAGTATGTTTCAATTTGCTCATCAAATCTAATATGATAGTGCTACATTACTCCATGCTGGCTATGGAGTATTATTTCTTTGGCATTGAGAGAAAAGTGACCAATAAGGGAAAGGGATTCAGAACCTTGTCACGTAAAAAGAACTGGAATGTTTAGAAGAGAAACCCCAAATACAGTCTGAGTGCTGACTTAGCATATTAAAAGAATTAATGTATTAAAAAGATACTAGGTATATTCCATTTCACTAAAACTAATACCTCGTGGAATGATAATTTTCAGTTGAACATGAGGAAGAAATTTCTGACAAATATGTTCAAAAATAGATTGGTCTGCCTTGGTATGTCTAGGTCTTAGAATGCTGAAACAGAGACTACACAATCAGGAAAATACGACTGGAACACCAATGCCCAGATTTTCAGTTCTAAAGACACCATTTGCTTGCCAAAAGTGAGCATTCTCCCCCTGTGATTATAGGTATACTTTATTATCTAATTGATGTGGCCCAAAAAACTGCAGTGAATTCAATAAATCTTTTTTTTTTTTTGAATTGGAATCTCACTCTGTCGCCCAGGCTGGAGTGCAGTGGCATGCTCACAACCTCCCCAGCATTGACCTGCTGGGCTCCAACAGTCCTTTCGCCTCAGCCTTCCAAGTAGCAGGAACTACAGGCATGCACTACCATGCCCAGCTAATTTTTTAATTTATTGTAGAGACGAAGTCTTGCCAAGTTGCCCGGGCTGGTCTCGAACATGCAGGCTCAGGCAATCCACTCGTCTCGACCTCCCAAAGTGTTGGAATTACAGGCCGAGCCACCGAACCCATCCTAGTAATTCTTTTAAATAAATATATACATTAAGAATGACTGTATTCCCAAATTTCAACACCACACAAATAAACAAAGAATGATTCTAGAATATACATGCACTTAAAAAATAAATGAGGATATATGAATAGACATGAATTCAGCTTACCAACAGGGATTGGTGGAATAGCAACTTCCAGGCCCCTTACCATAACTGCCACTTAAATAGTAGTCTGGCTTCCAGACTGGGAACCACTGTCCTAAGATGAGCGTTTTAAATAAGGGTGGTTTTTTTTGTTTTTGTTTGTTTGTTTGTTTAGAAAGCAGGGTTTATTGAGAGAACAGAAAAGCTCCCATAGTGAGTGGAGACCCAAAGGGGTGGCCCAAGGTTTTAATGACTTTTCACAGTTTTCTAGGTCTTTACCTTTTTTTCTGTTTCTATGTTGCAGAGCTGCAGCCATGTGACTGTTGTGGACAGAGCAGTGACCATCACAGACCTTCGATGAGAGTTTGACTCAAACACCTTCCAAGAACTATAAAACCATATCAATGTACTGTAGCCCCTTAATTTAAGCTTTCCAAAAAGCTTTGGAAGCTTTTTTAGACAAAATAGAAATGGGGCATCACCTGGGGAAGAGCTGATTTTCCTTTTCTGGTTTGAAAAGAAATAACAATATATATTTTTAGGCAAGTCTGGAAAAGAGCATGATCACACTAAAGCAACTGTAACTCAAAAATTAAGTTGAAAGTGGTGTAATGAACTCCCATATGCCCTACATTCTTGATTCACCAGTTGTTAACACTTTTTTCCTCTCAGCTTTCCTTAAAATTTCTTTACCAACTTGTTTATATTTACCTCTGGACTAAATAAGGGCATCTATGCAGAAATTTGGAAGCCATTTAGAAAATCTTTTGGGTTTGTCTATGGTTTGTGGAAATATTAATGGAGCTTATTATAAGGGTAAGAGACAGTTCACTACATCTGACTAGATGGTGTGGCTTACAAACCCAGAAGAGTGACTTTGTCAGGAATTATTGGTATTTAACAAATATTTCAAGATATTTTTCCTTTACAGTAAAATAACAATTAACTTATGTTTTTGTGCTCTAGAGTGATCAGTTTGATCAACCATTATATAAACAGATTAAATAAACAGTCTGGTTGTTTTGGGAAAGGAGAGGGGAAAATGGAATTTGAGATGTACTGACATTGAAGGTGTGTCCCAGTTCACTTTTAATTATTCAATGTTTTTTCTCTGCCTGCTGCCGTCTTCCAGGGGTGTGAAGTCATCCCTGTTCTTTTAGTGCTGTCTCAAGTGGGTCATCTCATTTACTTCCCCCTTGTGCCCTACAAGCTTTTGGTTGAGGATAATAGAGCTTTTGTTGGGAATACCAGGGCACACTCCAAATAAATGATTACATTCCCTAGCCACACTACCCTAATTTCATTGTGTTGCCTATTCTTTTCTGACTAAGGCAAAACCTAGCAAAGTATTTAAAGCTGCAATTGATACTGCATTTTTCTTTTTATGATCTGAGCCTTGTGTTCTAGGTGGCCTAGAAATGATGGTGTTATTTGTGACACCTCAGGTGCAAAGAACGTAAATACCCTGCATAGGAGAAAAGCAATTTCTGTCAATATCAAAATTCTGTCAGGGGGTGGGGGGAATCTGTGACTATGTAAAGTTTTACTTCATTTTAAAATTTTGTGTCCTAAATATGTTCAGTCTTTATTGCTTAGCTTAGTGGTCCTTGAACCTTTCTCCTAAAAGAGTCAAGTCCCTATATTATTTTTCTGCTCATGGGCCTGTAACTCCCAAGATAGCAGAAATTATTTCCTTTAGTTTTAGTATAAATTGGAGTAGCAGCCAGATGGATTTGAGCAAAGGAAAGAGTACTTCTTTTGCCTGAGCAGCCTGGCTGTCTCACCTTGCCCTAAACAGTTCTGAAATTGCCCAGTCCTGTACTTTCCAGGCAGTTCATCCCCTTCTTTCTGTTCTCCAGGCTACCACTTAGTTCAGGGCTTTATTACCTTTTACTTAGACTACTGCAATAGATTTTTACCAGTTCTCTTTGTTTTTACTGTTTCTTCATTCTAGTCCATTTTGTACACTGTTGACAAAATAGCCAAACTCTGTAAAAATAAGAAAGTTTATTCTGAACCAAATATGAGTGACCTAGGGCCAAGGCACAGTCCCAAGAGGTCCTGAGAACATGTACCCAAGGTGATTGAATTACAGCTTGGTTTTATACATTTTTAGGGAGACAGAAGTTACAGGGGGAAAAAATATATGTGTGTGTGTGTGTGTGTGTGTGTGTGTGTGTGTGTGTGTGTGTGTGTGTATTATAAATCAATACATGTGAGGTTTAAATTGGTTGAACCTGGAAAGGAGGGACATGGGGGGAGGGGCCTTACAGGTCAAAGATGTATTCAAAGATTTTCCGATTGACAGTTGGTAGAAAGCATTCAGCTCTGTCTAAAGACTTTGAAATCAGTTTGAAAAATGCTTGTTTTAAGAGGGGTTGTGAAAGCCAAGATTCTTGTTATGTAGATGAAGCCTCTGAGTAGGCTTCAGAGAGATTAAGTGGTATATGTCTTAAAAGGTGTCAAACTCTTCATAGAGAAGGAGATTCTCTACAGATTCTCTTGGGGAAATTTGAATCTGTAGAGAGTTTTCAGAGTCACTCCAAAACATATCAGAGAAACACATTTTAGGGTAAAGCATTTTTATTTCCTTTAAGGACTGCTATCTGTCATGTGATACTTATACCAGAGTCAGGTTGGAATTTGGTATCTTATTCCCACAGTCTGTTTTGACAGTCGTATGATCTGTATTTTAATGTTAATGCTGGTCATTTGTCCCTAAAACTCCACAAGGGATAGGGGATAATTAAGAGAGGCATGTCTGACCTCCTTTTCCATCATGACCTGGAATTTAGTTTTTCAGGTTTTCCTTGGCCCAGGGGCTCCATTCAGTTGGTTGGGGGTTTACAGTTTTATTTTTGGTTTATAACACTTTGATCAGAGGAAGATTCCCACATTATAGCCATATTCATGTTTCCTCTCTTGCTCAAAAACCTGCAATCGCTTTCTTTTGCCTAAAAGCTAAATTTAACCTTTATTCAGAACTTTCCACCTATGACCACTTATCTTTCTACCCCTGGCTACACATTCAAATGCCTAGATAACTTTTTTTTTTAAAGTGCCTCTCCTCCCACCAATTCAGTCTGAATATCTAGGGTGAGGCCGCAGACATTGTTTTTATTTTTGTCTTTCAAGCTGCTAGAATTCTCTAGTGCAGTAAGGGTTGAAAACCCACAGCACTGGTCCTTTCTACCTAAGAATGGTGAGCTTGTTTACCAATCTCTGCACAGCCTAGACTTTCAGTGAATGTTTGTTGAACCAAAGTGAACAATGTGTCAAACACTCAACTGCATTGATCACATACTAATCACCAAACTGCCTTATTTTCTTACCTCTGCTCCTGTGCACAAGATGTTCTTACTGGCTAGATGGGTGCAGAAAGTCAATCTGCAAACATTCTCTTTGTAGCTGCTACAGTCTAGCTATCACAGAGGCACTCTGCACAGGACTGTTTCAATGTCTCTGCCTTCAGCTACCTCCATTTTATCAAGCCAGCCCAGGAGACTGGGTAGGCCAATGGGAGAGAGGAAGAACCAGAGTTATAGGGAAAGGAGAAAAAAAGAGTATTGTGAATTAAAGGGACTCAGACCATGAAACCGGAGGAAAGAAGTTTGTATTGAAAGGGTAATGAGTAACTCAACTAAAGAGACTTACTTGTGAGCTTCTGAGGCTCCAAGACCAGGATGCCTTTCCACTCTCCCAAGCAGCACAAGTATCATGCCTAGTGGTCTGGGCTGAGGAGGAAGACAGAATCAATGTCTGGCTGTCAAACAGTGTCCCAGTTGGCCTCACAGAGGCACCAGAGCTTTCCAAGTGCCACCGGCCAGAGAGAATCCAGAGGAGCTGCTTTGCTGGGAGTTGGGGCATGGCTGGCTTTTTTCAGATGATCACTTTCACATCCTCCTAGTTAAATAGGACCAAAGAAGAAGAAGAAAACTGTAAACCTTTATAATGCTCTCTTGGGTACCAGATACCTTAAAAGGTAGTGTGGGAGAAGCATTCCCTTGTGGGGCTAGCATCATGGTGGATATTTCTTGCTTGAGAGGCAAGAGTGTCAGCTTTCTTTTTGGTACCAAAGAATTTAAAATTGTAAGTTCCCTTTCCCTTTGTTGGTCACTTCTGGGTTTCTGTTCACAGTGGAAAGAAGTTTTTCATATTGGGGTTGAGAGGAATGGCGACTGCTGAAAGCAAAGCTTTAATGAGTGAAAGTCCAGTAAATCCTGCAACATTGATCTGTTTCAAATTGATTCATCATTCACTGAGTTTGTTAGACCCAGGATCCAGTCCTGTGGCACTGGATAACCATGGACTCTTGTGTCCTTCTTTGGTTATTAAATCAGCTTCTTACCAGGCGCAGTGGCTCACGCCTATAATCCCAGCACTTTGGCAGGCTGAGGTATGAGGAATGTCTGGGCCCATGGGTACAAGACCAGCCTGGGCAACTTGGTGAAGCCTCGCCTCTACAATAAATCAAAAACTTAGCCGGACACAGTGGTGCATGTCTATAGTTCCAGTTACTTGGAAGGCTGAGGCGGAAGGATCGCCTGAGCCCAGTACGTCGAGGCTGCAATGGCCATCAGTGTGCTACTGCACTCCAGCCTGAGTGACAGAGTGAGACTCCAACTCAAACAAAACAAAACAAAAACAGCTTCTTTTAGGGCTTGGATCAACTTCCATCTCCTTTACTATCTTTAATATCTTCTCTTACTAGTAGGTTCACTCAGGGCTTCCTTCTTCGTGCTCCAGTGGCAATTACTACCATTTGATGTGTGGTCTGTTGCTGTTTTGCAGTGTTTTCTTACTGTGAGTTGTGTCACTAAACTATCATATAAATAGTACTAGGGTGGGGACCATGTTTGCTTTATTCACTGTATTAAGTGCCATTCAGTCACTTCCTTGTTGCTCAGCATCACATGTTAGGAAACTGGCTGGGCCTCTGTCCTAGCCTGGAGATGCTCTATCCCCACCGTGGGGGAGCCATCTGAATTCCTTGACTCAGTGTCCTATCTTGGACCTGTGTTCCACTTGCGCTCTCCTAGCCTCCAGGAAAGATGGTTGTCCTGCCCAGTTGCTCATTTGTAGGTGGTCAGAAGATGTACCTGGAACGAAGGCTGAAAGGGGGAGCACAGAAAGCAGGAGGTGCCCAGGATATGGTGACACCACTCTCATCACAAACCAAGGAAGGCAACAGTTTAAAGAGGTAAGATAAATGGCACCTAGTGGTTCAGTAGAGCTTTGTTGGGCTAAATCCCAGCAAGATAAGCCTCAGGGACCCAGGAGTTAGCTGAGGCTTTTCCTGATAACTCCATCTAAAGCACCTCCACCTACCTCTTTAACACATTACCGTTTTAGCACTGTCACAAGTGAAAATCGACCTGTTCATTTATTACTGGTTTATGTACCTGAAGCATACTCCTTGAGAACACAACTTTGTATTTTTTTTCCCTTTGTACTGTCAGCTCCCTGCCATGCACTAAGATGTGAATAAATGCAGAGGCTTGCCCCAAATTATCCAGCTAAATAAGTGAAAGGGCAACAAATATGCACACATTTTGAATAATTATTTTAAAGATCATGTAATTTAAAACTTAACAATCATACAATGTGATTTGTTAGAAGATAAAGGAAGGAAAGCAGATGAGAAAATAAGCTACATATATAACCATTCATCTTTGATTTAGAGAGAAGTGATTATCATAAGCAACATCACAAATTAAAACTTCTGGAATTTCTACAAATTGTACAGAGAAGGACATTTAGAACTCCAAATGCTTTAGTTACTTAATAAGAAATAATCAAGGCCAGGCTCAGTGGCTCAGCCTGTAATCCCAGCACTTTGGGAGGCCAAGGTGAGTGGATTGCCTGAGCCTGCGGGTTTGAGACCAACCCGGGCAACTTGGCAAGACCTCATCTCTGCAATAAATAAAAAATTAGTCAGCCATGGTAGTGTGTGCCTGTAGTTCCGGCTACTTGGAAGGCTGAGGCGGAGGGATCACCGGAGCCCAGCAGGTCAATGCCGGGGTGGCCATGAGTGTGCCACAGCACTCCAGCCTGGGCGACAAAGTGAGACGCCAACTCAAAAGAAAGAAAGAAAGAATCAAAAGATGCCGAGCACAGTAGCTCATGCCTGTAATCCCAGCACTTTGGGAGGCAGAGGCAAGAGGATTGCCTAAGCCCAGGGGTTCAAGACCAACCTGGGCAACTTGGTGAGACTTTGTCTCTACAATAAATCAAACAATATTAGCTGGGCATAGTGGCACATGCCTGTAGTCCAGCTACTTGGAAGGCTGAGGCAGAA